AAAGAGACAAAGCAAAGCCTCCACCATGGCCAGTGTAGCCACAGGGCAACGTGAGTGAGGAGGAGAGGAGTGTGAAGAGTGACTTAAACCACTGTGAAGCCAAGTCACCAGGCCACTCGGGTGAGTCGTGGTGGGGCCTTTTACTTTGACTTAGAGGAAAGTGGCTGCAGGAAAGAGGCAGGAGCCATGGTGTGCCTTCAAATGGTTTGGGCTGAGAACAAGGAAAAATCCAATGACTAGGAGGCTCTATGTGGCCACAGGAAGCAGGAAGCACTCCTGCTGGTAAAGGCTGTGTGTGTGGTGGTGGGGCTCAGAGTGTGCAGGAGGAGGACAGGCCCAGAGCTTGGAGACTTTAACACTGAGAAGTGCACTGCTCTCTTCTAACTCATGAGGGAAGGGGCAAGGGTCTGTGGGACTAAAGTTTAAGGAGACCTGGGCTAGAGACATAGGTAGGCTTTGTCCCGATGTACATGAAAACACACAAGGTCACAGAAAAAATAACAAATAAAGGAAGAGCACTGTTTGTACCCAGAGACACTTTAACGTGAAAATGTCTACTTCATCCCGCAGTGTCCAACTCGACCTCATTGCAGCCCAGGGCCTCCTCTGGCCGCTGTCCCTGAGCTCTCTGTGACATCCTTGCTTCCCTGTGGCTTCACCCATTCCTGCCAGGAATGCCCATACTTTAAGGCTACCTAGTAAGTCAGGGGATACACAGCCACCCAGGGCCACATGCTTCCCACACTTGTAAGTCCACCCCTTACACCGTCCCCATTTTCATTTAATTAAATAATCATCTTTCATGAAAGTCACCTACTTGAAGAAAGCGATCAGCAGGTTCACCATGATGATGTACTGCACGAAGAGGTAGACAGCCTGCAGGAACGGGGTGAGAAAGGAGCCCGGAGGGCACGAGGGCTGCTCCTCACATACTACAAAGAAAGAATTTAGAATGAGAAACGAGGAACATCATAGTCCTGTAGCCCTCGACAGACACGCGAGATAACTTACTAACTTGGCCGAGTGTTGCGAGCTTTATTTGTCATATTCAGCAGAGGAATGGAAAAAAGAAAGTGTGGTCCTCACACACAATGGAGCGCTCCTCTACCATGAAGAGCAACAGACCTGAGTGATTTGTGGGAAAGCAGACGCACCTTGGGACCGCAACATGCAGTGACGTGAATCAGACACAGGAGCTTACACGTCATGTGGTTTCTCTTACGAGAGGAAGAAGGGAGAAGGCTGGTTCTCAAGGGTGAAGGGGGTAAGAAGGTAGACAGATGGGGGAGAGGGAAGGGATTAGCTGGGGAAAAGAAACCAGGATGTGCTCTGTGCACATGCCAACTCCACACGAGGAATGTGGGCCCTGCACAGTGCAGACATA